ATAATAAAATACATGAAATTCGTTGCATGTTGAGGGGCACAGACGCTGAGGAAATCCAAATTCAATCAAAATATATTGTATGAATTTCACAAAGTTCAATTAAAAAATTAAAAGGGAAAAATGAAAAATACTTTTAGTAACACTTTTAATTTGGATGATTAACTATAAATGTGATGCAGAAATATTTTAAAACTTGCTTCTATTTTTTTTCTATTAAGAAGCTCTAATATTTAATGCACAATGAAGTATTTTCATTCAATTTATTAGTTATTTGAAAAGTTAATTTGATCAGCTTATATTCTGTGCTTATGTAAGTAGTTTATACTCACACAAACCCTGTGTGCTAAGTAGCCAGTGGAATTTAATTTGATCTCTCTCTCTCTCTCTCTCTCTCTCTCTCTCTTTCTCTCTCTCTCTCGATGCTTTATGATTTGGGGACTGTATGGGAAATTCAGGATTAAATTGTTTCAGTTTCTAAGGACTTGGCAATACAAATATCTGAAGTCAGTGATTACAAGCCATTTTAATAGTGCATTAGTCTCTGAAATACTTATGATGAATTTACAGACTTTTCTTTTTTTCAAATGTCTTCTACAAGCACAGACTTTTTTCAACTGTGGATTCTGATTTGTTTATCAATATATATCTGTCCAGTGAATGGGCCAATGACTTCCATTTGTCATCCATTATTCTATGTGCTGGTAATAGAGTGATGAATGAGTCTCTGTCCTTACCCAGCATGAGCTCATGTCCTCTACACAGGGAGACACACATGTGAATTGTTATAAAGACAAAATGTCATGGTTCCTAAGAATGAATTAAAACACAAGGAACGCAGGGAAACAAGTACCATGTTCTATCCAATTTTGACAATTTCTAGTTGTGTCAAAATTTTAAAACATAAAATGTGTCAGGAAGGAAATTGATTGGGGGATGTTTTCAGCTGGCATAGACAAGAATCTGCAGCCTCTATCACCAGGGCATGTTGAGAGTCATGTGCTCCTAAAGAAAAAATGAATTCCTTTAACAATAAAACTAGACATAACTTAGAAGCTGTGAAGATTCTGAGTAGGCTGACCAAAGTTAGGAGACTGTAGGACTCCTTAACTTTTTCATTTTGACAATGATGGGACTACTAATGATTTTTGTTCTCAATAGTACAGGCTCATTCCTGAAACAGAAATAGTTACAGACCATGTAACAGCTATGCCCCAAATTCCTAGTCCTTCACAGAAGGTCAAAGTGTCAATAGTCAGATGCCCTTAAATGCTAAATAAATCAGAGTTGTGTAGAAAACATGTTAAAATTCAGCAAATAATGTAGATTCTAACATAACACAGAACCAGAAGGTAGTTTAATCATTATTTCAGGAAGGTGTTTTGTATATACATATATGCATGCCATACATCTCTATTCTTCTTTGTATATATTTGTGTATTTGTAACAAGAGTACCACTTATAGCTATATATATATGAAACTCACAAGTAGCTATATGTATATGAATGCCGTGTGTGAACGCTGTGAATGTAAGTACATGTGAGTGAGAGCCGTTGTGTAAAGGACACAGCATGTGTGCAAAGTGACATAAGAGTCTTGCACATGCTATTTTCATCTAGTCACATTTACTGAAGATTACCATCAAATACAAAATTATATGATATTCAAGGAAATGTCTGCATCAACGGACTTTTTAAAAAATCTTGAATTTAAAGAATCTTATTTTTCAATACAGGCTTTGTAAATTCCTGCTATTACAAGAGAGAAGAATTTCACATAGTATTTGTATAGTTTTTACTTCAGCATTATAAAGTATTCATTTGTAAAGAAAATGCTTCTAAATGTTAACCTGCCCTATTAATCTCAATTCCAAGATTATTCTTTCAATGAGTTTCTTATCAAATTCATATGACTGTGATATTGCCTGAATATGCCACATTTATTGCTTATTAATTTTTGTGTATGAGTGTTTTTTCCTGCATGTATGTAAGTGTTCTTGTGTTATGTAATACACATGAAGACCAGAAAAGAGCGTCAGATTCCCTGGAACTAGAGTTACAGATGGTCATTGGCTTCCATGTGAGGACTGAGAACCAGAATCATTTCTTCTAGAAGAGCAGCCAGTGCTCATAACCACTGAGCCATCTCTCCAGCCCCACATATCAAACTTTTAGAGTTAAAAGTACAACAACAAATATGAACTTTTAATACATAGATCAGAAAATTTCATGAGTAATAGCTACATTTCAACCATAAACCACTGTCAGGCTTTTCTATGACAACCTCTGTACACAGAGCTTTTGAGATTCCACAGGATTGGTGAATAATGCCACTCTTCATGGTTTCACAGCAGCCATGTAATTCACATAGCAATGGCATCAGAAAAGAGAACTTCAGAGGCAGCATCAAGTGCTCTTCTCAGAATGAGCTTTTATTTTAAAAGATAGCAACGATGCTTGAGAGCTGGCTTTATAAAAACATAAGTAAATCAAAGGGTATATTTTATGGAGGAGACAGCGGGGCTAAGTTGAAACTAACTTGCAGCCATTAGTAAATGATATTGGTAATGTATGATAATTTGGATGTATACTTCATATGACATTTTTGAAATTCACTTATATTTGTGGATATATGGAAGTATAAATATTAGAATAATTGATATGATTTAACAACTTTAACACTTTACTTACAGTCACAGAAATTGATTTCAGCAATCTAAACTATTTGTTAATGTTCTTAGTTTTCTTTTACAAGATCCAGGTAACTCAGAATGTCTTTTTTGAGAATTTCATGCGTGAGTACTATATTTACACCGCTTCCAGCCCTCTAATTATTCTAGTGTCCCAATGCCTGCTCAAATTCATGACCTCTTCTTTTATAATTAATTATAGTGATTAAAATATTCTGTATGCATATAATTTCTGACTGTGGAAAGAAAATATTAGTTTTTAGGTTTATTTTGTATTTGAGTGTTTTGCCAGCAAGTATGTAAGTGCAACAAATGCATACAATTCCTGAAGATCCCAGAAGAGGGCACAAATTCCCTACAACTGGTGTTAGGAATTTGTGTTAACCATCACTGAGTGTTAGGACCTGAATCTGGGAGTTCTGCAAGAGCAGCATGTATTCTGAGTGACAGGCATTTCTTCAGCCTCAGAATATTTTAAGCTTCTGCTTTCAAATGTCCATTTTATGAATTAAAATACATAGATATTGGTGCAATAGCTTATCCGTACAACACAATTATGTTCATATATATGTATATATACGTTTATTTAATTTTTGTTGATTTTTTTGTGTATTTCATACAGAATATCTCAATCAGTCTTAATCATCATTATCCCCCTTCCCCACTGGTATCTTTCCATAGCCACTGCCCCACTGGAATTCATACATTCTGTCATTCGTATTAAGGCCTACTGTCTCAAGTTAGTGTCTCCAGACATTCTTCAGTGCAAGCTCATCTAGTGAGGTCTAGTTAGCTCATCTAGAGTCCTCACTTTAGGAATATCAGCTCTTCCTCACCCAGCAGTAATCAGTTTCCAATATTCCTTCAGTTAAGATGAGGGTCTGCTGCCCATTTCCCCAGTTCTATGCTAGGTTTTTGTCACCTTGAGTTTGCATGGGACTTATGCATGCTGACACCATTGCTTTAGATTCATATGAGCAGGGTCCCAGGAAATTGTAGGACTCTATTTCCATATAGTCATGCACCTGCCCCTTGGCTTTTATAATTTTCCACCCTCACTTTCTCAATGGTCCCTGAGACCTGGGTGGGTTAAGTTTAATATAGGAATCCTGTCTAAGCACCAGCATTCTACAGACTCTACTGCTTGGCCATTAGTGACCTGTTATGATCCTGGCCCAGTGATGCATGAAGGAGCTTTATTTATGAAAACTGAGAGATTCATTAGTGTCCTCTTTACCCCTGTTCTGTGTTCCATGAGCTTTAGGTGTAGAAGTTGCAATTCATAGACTGGGCAATTCATAGACAATGTCTCTGTGTGACCAATTGTGACACTGTAATAGTGTCTTTCTGGTGTAAAAGAAGAGTTTTGATTAGTAGTGACTGGGATATTTGCCTGTAAATATAAGGAAACATTTTGCACTTAGCAAGAAATTACATTAGTTTAGGGATGTGACAGTCTTGTGGTTTTCTCTAAGCTCTACCTCTCCAGCCATGTGTATTTAGTTATATTTATAGTACCACACTTGAGTTTCCTCCCATGGAGTGGGCTTTTAGTCCAATTAGGTAGCAGTTGATGTCCCCCAAGATAAAATGCCACTATTGTACCAATGTCATGTGCTGTGCCAGTCATTGATATTATTTGTTCTTTAAGCTGGTGTTTAATCATCAATTGCTATGTTCCCTTGGCATCTTCATAGTGCTATCCAAAGCTATGAGAGCTAGCCTTCAGGGGAAGTGACTTTCAGGTCAGTTCCAGATCCATTGCTCCAAATACTGTGTCCAAAGTGTGTTCTAGGTTCAGCAGTAGGGTCTTACCTTCAAATTCTGGGAGGCACTCAAGGACTGTGTCAATAGCCTGTATAATTTTGGGGGTCTCTTTGAGTACCCTGGCCAACAACTCAAAGGAAGGTTTCTTCTATCTGGCACTGTTTCTATAGTGTATGTATAATTTGTCATTCAGTTGTTGGACTATGATTCCTTCTATTTTTGTAAAACCAGCTAAGCATTATTTATCTCTCTCTCTCTCTCTCTCTCTCTCTCTCTCACTGTCTAACCCTTCCACCATGGCTTCCTCATTTAAAGTGTTCCCATTTTTCCCATTTCTCCCTTAAATAATACCAGTCTTACATGGTCCCACCTCTCTTTAACTCCTTCATACCCTTTATCCCCAAGATTCCTTATATAACCCTCCCTCCTCCTACCATTTAAAACATCCCCTTTTTTTCTGGTACCAAGAGTGAAATGATTAATATATCTTAAAGGGTATATTAGAAGTTATGAATGCATAAAATATAAAATTAACATGTCAGCTATTGTACTTACAATTTATTGAAGGGACCAGTAACATATTACCACTTCAAAGGGGAATATAATATCACAAACTAGGCACCAAGGAATGTTGAAATGAAAGTATTTACCAGATGCAAATCTGACTCTCAGAGTTTTTGTGGAAATATATTGCATTGTCATCAGAGAAAATTCTCATCCATACACCAGTGGCAGAATTTTCTGTGCATTGCTATGGGATATGTACATGTGACCTGTAAAACAGCTTAAAGGTGTGGAAAGTAGTAGGACTCTATTGAATCACAAAACCCTTCCTGGAGGAAGAAATTACATAGAACTAGCAATAATCTTTGATGACCATCTCAAAGTTTCACAATTTCTAGTGATAGTATATGTTATTTGATGTGCATGCTTAATAAGTGTTTAATATATGAACACATTAACAAGTCCTTAGGGAGTGGTACTGTAGACAAAGAATAGGCAAAGTTTTCTCTAAATGTCAAAATTTCAGATATATTAAGATATTTAGACTACAAGAGCTGGTAGTGTGCTCTTTTTGAAAAGATAAGTTTTTATAGTTGTAAAAACCATTCCTCATTCCTGAGGGCTAAGCAGAGAGGAAAGAAGATGAATTTGGTACTTTAGTCAGAGCTGAGCAGCTCCTGCTCTAGATAAGTGTTCATCAACTTAGATCCCTGGAAAGAAGAGAAAGTGTGACTGAGCCGGGTGCTGGGTGACAGAGAGAGCATTTGCACAGTGCACTTGATTTAACACACTAAGCTTTAAGAAGTATTCATTAAGAGAAGTGATTTTTTAAAAAGGAAAGATTTTTAGGATGAAGTAATTAGAAAGGCTGCAAGCATGAATTCCATGCTGAAAGATGGACAGACTGGCTGTTTTTCATAAGTGTTGAGAGGGGAAGCTAGACTTCAGAAATCAGCACGAATAGCTAAGCAGTGTAGTGGAAGGTCTCACACAGAAGGGACTTGCAAGAAAAAGGTCATCCTGTATTTAATGTAAAGCTACTTAACCGCTTTCCCAGGGTATAAGGAAAAGGTCAGAAAAAAGAACATTCAGTCCTTCAATATTCGATCCCAGACCATTTTTGATGTTCTTATTCCTCCTGTTCTTCCCTTTGTTTACTTTTTCAAGACTTCAGGATAGAGAATAAGATAGAAGAAGACAAGTTGGAGGAAATAGATGAAAAGTGAGTTTTTCTGTCCACTATCAGAGGGGACATAATAACCAAAGGGGGATCAAGTGCGTATAATCTAAAATTTATCAAGATATATCCAAAGCTTTTTTATAATGAGGAAACTTATAAAGGGAATTCTCAGTCATTATTTTTCTATGATATCTATGACATAATTGATAGATTACTTCTCTCAATGTAGGGCATAGATTCTTGAATTTATACTGTCTTAATTCTACTGTGGATAATTGGGCTTCTATTTTCCACTGACAATACTATTTCATTACAAAAGAAGAGTTACTAGAGGAAGTAGCAAGCATTCTTTTGTGTAAAGTTTCTTGAGCTGCTCAATATGCCTCTCATGAAATGGATTGGAGGTTTGTTTTCTTAAATCATTTTGGCAACCAGACTCTTTCATGCAGGTCACATATTGGGTCACTTTCAGAAGTTAATGTGACAGGACAGTAATTGATGTGTCTAAGGAAAATGATGAATTAATCTGAAAGTTGAAAAGCCATCAAAGTCAATCCTAATTGATTTGTTAATGACTGTGATCAGATTCAAGGAATGACATTATATTAATTATGCTTAAGGAAGTTGGCTTCAAAAGTGTTTATTTCTTTTAGTAATTTTTTTAATATCAAATCTCAGTCCCTACTGAGTTGTTTGGGAAACTCTCAAATTGGCCCAATGGATAAAATTTTGCATCTATTATGTTATGAAATTTTATAGTATCAATTATAACATACAAATATGGAATTTTATCTTCCTATCATTGATATGGCTATCACGATACTAATAATTAATTTATTACTATCATTTTGGCAGTTTGCATAGTAGTTAGCAGTTGATTTGTATTAGCTTAATTTAAAGATGAGGAGCATTACTTATCATATTATTTAAAATGGCATAAAACATACCACAATTGTTCTCTAAAATTAAAATATATAATATAAATAGAAATTAATGAAACCTCAGGAAATTTTAATAATTGGCCCTTGATAATTTTTCTTTTACCAAAGTATCATCACATAACAAAATTAATCATTTTAAAATGAAAGTGTAGTGACATTTAGTATATTTATGATGTGTACCTGCCACCTCTGTCTAATCCAAAGTATTTTCTTTGCCTTCAAAGGAAACCCAGGGATCACTACGCACTTCCTGTTCCTCCTTCTAAGATGCCTGGCAATTGTGATGACTGATGGACTTGTTTTTGATGCTTTTATTGACCATTTTTGTATCTTTGTTGCAAAAATACATATGTAAGACTTCTGTCATTTACAATCAGGTTGTTTGTATTTTCATTGTTGAACTTTAATAATTCTTCATAATATCTAGTCATGAAATGTTTATAGCATATACGATTTGTCAACACTTTGTTATATTCTTATTTTCTCAATTGTGTCTTTTCACTAAGAATTATTTTAAATTTTCAGGTATTCTAATTTGTCTCTTTTCCATTTTTGGTGCTTTGGGTAGCATTACCCAGAATCCATTGTTATGTTAAAGGTTATTTATTTTATTTTTTCCTAAGAATTTTAGTTTTATCCATCATATTTGGTCATGCACTTCAGTTAATTTTTATGTAGAAAGTAGGACAAGGGTCAAGTTCAGTTTGTCATTTTTCATATCCCTGTCTGGTTGCTATGGCATCGTTTCTTTTGCCACTGCATAAGTTTGGCACTCTTGGCACACTTGTGAAAAATCAATTTTCCATAGATGTGTTGATTTATTTCAGGACTTTGAATTCTATTGCAATGTCTAGATGTTTATGGTATATATTTTTACTACTTGTTCTTTTGTTGAAAATTTTGAAATAAGGAAATGTGTGTGTTCCACTTTTGTCCTTTGTTTTTTAAATTTCATTGTGGATATTCATGACTTGCTGAAATCCCACATAAATTTTAGAATCAGCATTGGCATTTATCTTTAAGAAATGCTATTCAGACTTTTATAGTGACTTCGCTGAATCTGTGGATAGCTTTTAGGTGTCATGGCATTTTAACAATGCCTTGTGTTCTTGTTTATAAACATAGAATGTCGTTCCATTTATTTGTGTCCTATTTCAACAATGTATTATGGTTTTAGAATATAAATCATTCATATATTTGGTTAGATTCATTTTTACATCTTCTCTTTATTTGGATGGTCTTGGAAATATAATTTATTTTCTTTATTTCATCCTTATATTTTTCGTTACTCAGACATGAAAGCTAGACTAACCTTTATATGTTCATCTTATTCCTATAAGTTGGCTGAATTTATTACCTCTACCATTGGTTGTCTGGTTTTGGAGATTCTTTGGGGTTTTCTATATCTTGGATTATGATATCAGCCAATGGGACACCTTTTCCTTTCTACTTTGCAATTCAGATATCTTTTACTTATTTTTCTTGCCTAAAGTTTGTGGCTAAACTTTAGGTACATTGATGATTGACGATGATAGAAACAAAGATCCTAGTGCTGTTCCTGATCTGAGGGAAAGCTTTAATGCTCTGACCACTCTTCATTAGGAAAGCTGTGGGGCTTTTATCTGATGTCTGTTATGTGAAGGAAATTTCACATGCTGATTTTTTTCTTTTTTCTTAGATTTATACAGGATTATGTCTATGAATGTTTTACCTATATGTGTGTATCTGTACCACCTGTATGTCTGGTGCCCATGGAGGCCAGAAGAGAGAGCCAGATATCAAGGAACTTGAATTCCAGAAGGTTATGAGCCCCATGTGAATGCTGAGAACCCAACCGCGGACTACCACAAGAGCACCAAGTGCTCCTAACCACTGAATTATTTCTCCAGCCCATTTCTTCTTACTTTATTGAATGAATTTTTTGTTCATGATGATAGGTGGAATTTTGTTAAGTGCATTTTCTATGTCAATTGAAATGAATTAAACCTAGGGCCTGTACATGTCAAGCGAGCCCTCATTCCCTGAGTTATAATCCCACACAAAACTGCTGTGTTATGTTATATATTTATATTTCAAAATATTGTAGCATTCTAAGATGAATCCTTGCTCACACTGTATAATTCTCTTAAAATGCTGCTGGAATTATTTAGCAAACATTGCTTAGGATATTCACATCTGTATTAATATATTCATTTATATTCATGACAGATATTAACCTGCAATCTTTTTTAGATTGTCTTATTTGGGATTAGGTCAGAGTGATGTTTGGCATTAAGGGACAAGTTAAAATGCCACAATAATTTATTATGGCAATTATACCCCCCTTGTATTGTGCATACAGTGATTGTTTAGATCTGTAGAACTTTGACTGCTTTTCCATGTTCTGGCTTTTTTTCTCTTAATTTTTCAGTTTCAGTGCACAGTTTTAGCTACCCATATACATTTATTTCTAGTATTTCATACTCCATAACACATAATACTGATTTTAGGATATACAGGCTAAATACTACTAAAGCCTATGAATACACTGGCTGATTTAGACATTTCCAGTAGCATGTATTTTAACTGAAATTTTAGTTAAATACCATTGTCTTTTAACGTATTTCCTCTTACTTCTAAAGTACCTAGTATCCTACAATAATCATAAATTCTTACTATAGAAATCAGCATATTCATTTTGTCTTATTAAATTAAAATATTATTAATGCCTTTTTAAAAGAGTTACTAAAGTAAACCTGGTGTGGTGATGCATACCTTTGATCCAAGCACTAAGTGGGAGAGGCAGACAGCGTATTTACACAGAGAGTTCTAGGCCAGCAGGGTGAGAGGAAGACCTTGTTTCAAAACAAATAAACAAGCAAGCAAACAAGCAAACAGAAATATTGCTACAATAATGGAAAACATTTAACATGAAATGATACTCATATTTTGAATGCATATATAATTTATATAATGCATTTTACTTAACCATTCCTATGGTGCAACTAACCTTGAAATTTTAACTCTGTGGAATAAGTAAATTTCATACAAACATTGTTTATTTTTGGCTACTTGTCACTAAAAATTAAGTAATGATTCTTAAGTATGATTGCTTAAATTGGAACAGTCATGGCTAATTTTGCCACATTGTTTTTGCTCTATTTTTTGATAGCTCTATAGGATTTGGTTACTCATCTTCTTTGCTGGGACAAAATAGCCCACAGAAGCAACTTAAAGAAAGATTTTATTTTAGATCATACTTTAAAAGAGGATACAGTCTACTATGTCAGGAAATCAAGGTGGTGGGACCATGAAACAGATGGCCAAATTATATCTGCATTCAAAAAGCAGAGAAGGAGGAGGGGGGGCAGGAAGGAGAGGAGTAGGAGGAAGAGGAGAGTGAAGGAGGGCCGCAGGGAGGGAGGGAGGGAGAAAGGGGGGGATAGGAGAGAGAATAGATGGGAGAGAGGGTAGAACTGTTGGGGTTCAGCTGGCTTCCTCTTTTATTTTTATTTTTAGTCATTTCGGGACACAAGCCCAGGTGCTGCTTGCATTCATGGTAGACTTTTTTTCCTATTCAACTCTTTTTAAAAAACAATTTTATTGCTATTATTTTATTTTTTTAATCAAAAAAATTTTTTAGAAACCTTTCATTACAGCTTTAACATACTCAATAACAGTTTCCAGGGCAAAGATACATCTCTTTCAAAAGTGGCTATTTAATTTTTAGGTTTGCTGTTGAATTAATAGTTATACAATATTGAACTCAGTATAAGCCCTGTAAGACATAAAATTGAATGAGTTTTTAACCTTTAAAAAAGATCTCCATTTCATTTTAAAATACACTGTTTCTTACAGAAAGACTCATTGTTTTTACTAATAACACTGATATGTTGGCACATGTGTCTCTCATCTGTATGTATCTGGTTATGACTAGTCATAATCAGTTGCACTCAGATACTTGGCACCTATGTATGTCTATAAAGTCATCGGATATATTTCAATGGTAATGTTTATCACTTCTACTAATTAACATGATGTAAATTTTTATGCTTCCTCCTCAAATATAACTCATTTTAAAAAATTTGTTGATTCTTTTTATGTGTGTGTATATCACACAGAACATCCCAAACCATCTTATTCAACTATACACCCACTTCCCAGATGGCACCTTCCCATAGCCTCCTTCCCCCAACTAGGGCCCTATACTCTGTTATCCCTGCTACTGTCCGCTGGGTTGTTGGCACCCCCAGCCATTCCCCACTACTCGTCCATCTGGTGAATCTAGTCAGCCTATCTAAAGGTCTTGTTTTAGGAAAGTCAGCTGTTCCTCATCTAGCAGCAATCGATTGTCAATATTACTTTAGCTAAGATTGGAGTCTACTGTTCATTTTCCCAGTTCTATGCTGGTTACTATCTGGGAGTCCAATGGGACACCCTGGCCAATAAAACTCAAAAGAATCTCCTATCTGGTATTGTTGCTTGTTATGTAGCCTTTGGCTATACATATGGACTCCTAAAAATTTTATTGGCCCCTTTAATCTTTGGTTACACTTTCCTTTTGGGTGTTTAAGGCCATACAGTTGGCTCAGATAAAACAATTTATTTTTACTCTTAAGGCCATTTGAGGATCTGTTCCTCAGGGGTCACATGGGCTTGGGAGGAGCCCCTGGCTCCTTTCTTTTACCAGTTCTACCTATGTGAAGTTAAGTTAAAGGTCCTGCTTGACCATAGCTGGCTTCATTTCGAAGCATGGAGGAAATGATTCCTCTGTGTTGACCCTCCTCTTTGTAGACTGGACACTGGTTCAAGTCCATCTGGTAGGGTCTCCACGGCCTCCTTGATCAAGAGGACAGGTGACCCACTGTGGTGGTTTGAATGAAATAGTCCTCCATTGACTCCAAGTATTCGGACATTTTGTCCCCAGATGATGGTGCTGTTTTGGGAGGTTTTAGAAAGTGTAGCTATCCTAGAGGAAACATGTCACTGGGAGTAGGCTTAGAGAATTCTTAAGCCTTGCCATATCTCCAGCTGGTCTCTTTCTTCCTGTGACTGCATGATGATGTGAGAGCTTTGCTTCTGCTTCTGCTGCTCCTGCTCCAGCCACCTCCAGCTATCATGCCTCCCTGCCATGATGGCCTGTAATTCCCCTGGAACCATAAGCTCAAATAGACTCTTCCTTCTATAAATTGCTGGGTCACTGTTTCTATCAGAGCAACAGAAAAGTGACTAATACACCCACCATTATTATAGGACATTTTGAGAGATACTCATAGTCCCCTGGAACTGGTCAACCTAGGAGGGCAAGGAGCAAAAACTGTCCTTTATGTCCCTCTGACCAAATTAGTATAGGCTTCAAATTATGTCTGTTAAACATCTAAGAAGGTTAGTTCCACCAGTCTGGTACTTTTAATTACTGAGTGCCATGTAGAGAAATCTTGGGCAACGACCAATTGTTCTCAGATAAACCTTGCCTAGACATATATTTCTTGATCTGGTATGTATAATTTGTCAGTAGGTTTTTGGATTATTGTTTTTATTTTTATTTTATGTGCATGTATGTAAGTGTACCTGTGTCATACAATGCCCATGGAGGTCAGCAGAGGGCATCAGATCCCCTGAAGTTGGAGTTACAGATGGTGGTTAGCTGCCATGTGAATCCTGGGAACCAAATCTGGGTCTTTTCCAAGAGTAGACAGTGCTCTTAACCACTGAGTCATCTCTGTGCCCCCTTATTCTATTCTTAACTTCATAAGCCTAGCCTCCACTGTCTGCATTTCTTTCAGCTTTCTGATCTAAACTTCCAAAAGAACAACCATTTTAGTCCTGTTTACAGCATTTTAGAGTCTATTCCATATTTCCAAAGGCTGCAATCTTCCACATTCATTCCACAAACCCATTTCAAATGCCTACAAATTATATAGTCACATTTAACACAGAAATTTTCCCATACCTAGTACCAATTTTCTGTATTACTCTTTTCATAGTATGACAAAATACCTAAATAAAACAGCTCAAGGAAGGAAGTGTTTATTTTGGATAATGGTTTAAAGGGAGACACAGTCAGCTATGGCCACTGTCATGGCAGTAGGCGTGTGATGCAGCTGTTCACCATGCAGCTGAAGTGTGAAAGCAGGTAAATGATGAACGCTGGCACTCTGCTTGCTTTCTCTTTTCCCCTTTTATTCAGTGCAGAACCACCTCACTGAATGGTGTTAACCATTTTCAGAACAGGTCTTCCTCCTTCAGTTAAAACCCTCTGGAACATTCCCACTGGCATGCTAAAGGTATTCCTAGTTGATTTCCAGTTAATTGAACTTGATAATGAAGAGTAACCATCAAAATACCAAAGATACATGTATGTAGAGTAATAAAACTAAAAACAAAAAGAAGTGACATATGGTAGAAAAGAGGAAGAAAGAATGAAAATGGAGAGATGAAATTAGGTAAGAAGGAGGGGGGTGAAAACCAAAGAAAAGGGGAAATGAAGCAAATGGAAAATGAAAAACGGAAGCACTCATTCACAGGCAGGATACATTACAGGGTTGTCACTGCTTTCTTTTCAGCACAATATATATATTTTTAGGTGGTAATGAAAAATCCAGATTCTCTGTGAATGGGACATTTTTCAATATGTTCAACAACAAAGTCCACATGTTATGAAGTCAAATTCTACCAAACTAGTATTTTAACAGTTTCTTTCAAAAAGCAAAAAGAGCATGTACTTGCCAACCATCTGTTAGAAGGGCCTCAATTGACTTCTGTCTGTAAATACATACCTCCACTCTTTTTTCAGAAGGAATAAGATATAAACAAAAAAATCTGAATGTAAGTCTAAAAACCAAAATATTTTGAGAGTAATCGCTTACTCATTTGCTGTGAAGTTATTAAATCAGTTTAGAGATCAACCTTTAGAAGTCTAAAGGCCAGCTGGCTAAATGTACATAATAAAACAGGATCAGATGAAAATATAGTAAAAATGTAAATTGCAAGATCTTCAATAAAGCTGATGAAATTTGATAGTTTCTTTAAGTGCCTCCTTGAAATCTAATTTTTGTCTGTATTTCATTTTCATTAACTATAAAAAAGACAAAAAATTGTTCATTTGGTAATTCTAGCAAGTAGATTATTTTATATGAAACACTGTAATATAAAGAAAAGGCAATGGATAGTTCAGTGAAAACTAGTTACGGATGCAAATGCACAGTATCATTTCTTAAAACCTTAGATTTAGTTGGCAGGAATATGAGCTGGCATTCAATGCTTTTTACTGAGTTTTACCTAATAATAGTAATAAAACTCACTTAAGCATGGCAGAAATTATAATTTTATACCACTCCTTCCCCCAGTCATAAAACTTCAGGAAGAATAATAGAAAACACAGGAGCAAAGATCTGGAGGGTCCTTATCACTAGAGAAATTTCTGCACTAACAGATGTGAGGGGGTATATGTGATGAATGTACACAAAATATATGTCTCCAAAAATTTTCTTTAAACCTGAGGATTTGTATGAAATTTACTCCTTCATTCTAGAGCAGAAGTAGAAGTGCAGTCTCCGTAGCACTCTTCTTTCCCTGAACTTTGCATTTATTTTAAACCTGGGATGACAGCAGTGGCTGTAGATGTTGAGAGTTCATGATTGAAAGTTAGCTCTGGAGACTGGTGTGATATCTCAAGGGATAAAGGGACTTTTAAGGGAGCCTGATGATCTGAGTTCAACCCTGAAATAACATGATAAAAGGATAGAAGAATTCCAGTGAGTTGTCCTCTGACTTCCACATTTATGCTAACACACACACACACACACACACACACACACACACACACATACACAGAGAGAGAGAGAGAGAGAGAGAGAGAGAGAGAGAAGGGAGACAAAGTATAGAGCTAATGCAATGAGAATTTAATAAAATTCGCTTTGGGTCTCAAGTTGTCAGCCCACATTTCTTTGATGATCAATTAGTCAACAACATTTCTTTGATGATTCAATTAGTCAACAACATTTTTGTCATGCTGTAACTGAAAACATGAAAATATTTTATACTTCTTTCTGAGAACAGCAAGCAGTATGACAGAAACCCAAATCACTACATTTTCCTTCACATATGTAAAGTATTGACACAGTGATTATATCATGTGGCTACTGGATAAAATTGAGTTTTCAGATTTGGAATCTGACAGAAAGAACTTTCAAAATTTAATTAGATTCTACATGGAAACAGTCATGGGTTAGAAAAGATGTCTGATAAATCAACTCTACTAAAAGTGAAAATTTATTGTTGCTAAGGTTTGTAACATGCATGAATCCCTCATCTGATCCTAGTACCCCATAATTCTTTCATAA